TTTGATATTAAATGAAAGCCCTATTTTCCCTGAATAAAATGATATATAATAAGGGTGGGTGTATTTACTATGAAATTGGTGAATTACAGTTGGACAGACATTTTGCGCAAATGCCAGGTTTTGTTTACATTTTGTTTCGTTCACAACGTGTACATTTGGCTCCGTCCTTAAGGGGTTAATTGAAAAACAAACAAAAAACACAGTATTATAATAGGGAGAGATCACCTAAATTGTCAACTGGCGGTAATGGTAGTACAGTGGGTTATTGGAGTAGAAAAGTAGGGTAATAATAGTAAGATAAGTATACAAAGCGAGATGATATTGGAAGATCTGGAGAGATAGAAGGAGGGAGAAGATAAGTAACTTTAGATACAGCTCAGGTAAGTATGATGGTAATCAAAGGTAGCAATTGTCTGGAGGCTTAAAAGTGCCTATTTCTATACATATAAGCCTCCTTATCCTGCACAAAGTCCACTTATCTATAGTTTTGTCTATTAAATACAATTGCCAAAATCCCTCAATTATTGCACCTTCAAGGGTGCACAAAACAGAAATAAGTATAAACTCCTGCACCTACACGGGTTCTATTAGTGCCTGATACTGATATCCTTTAGCACCTTCATGGATGCTAATGGTATAAGTCCCTGTATAAACGGCTGCAATGGTTAAAACACCAGCCCATGCCATGGTTAAAACATAGTAAAAATAGAAAGCTAGAAATTCCTCACATTGTTCAAGCTCCCTGGTGTTAGTGGTAGCTTAGAGCCCTGGTCATTTAAAGGGGTACTTTAAGCACAAAAACAACTTTAGCTGAATTAAGTGATTTTGATATATAGATAATGCAAGGTCCCTACTTAAGTATCTGTCATTTAGGAGTTAAATCATTTTGTTTATGTAGCCCTAGTCGCACCTTCCCTGCCTGTGACTCACACAGCCTCCCTGCATACTTCCTGCAAAGTGGGAGCTAATGATTCCTTTAATGAGCAGTGTGCTTAATTTGAATATTTGTATCTCCTGCTTTTAGAAAATGGAAGGGCAGAGAGATCGGGATATTTGGCACTAGAACAAGAAAGGTTTAACCCCTGAGCAGGGCCGGCCTTAGGGTTGTGCAAGTTGTGCAGCCACATTTTTCGCCATGGGAGCATGGACGCCATGTGGCCGACACAGCTCACACATGGCCGGCCGGGATTATAAAAAAAAAAAAACTAATATTGCAGCGGGTCGGAGCTTACCGTGCATCGGGGCGGAGCTTCCATACGGCAGAGGCGGGGCTTAACAGAAAGCAGGGGTGGAGCTAAAAGTGCCGGGTAACTGCTGCAGGGGAAGCAGGAAGGAGTCCCTGCTTCCCCAACAACCAGACTCCAGGAGCTGCACTGCCTCCACTCCTCCATAATGAATAGAGGTAACTATGTGTGATTGTCTGTGTGTGGCTGCCTGTCTGTGTGTTTGACTGTCTGCCTGTGTGTGTGTCTATGTGACTGCATGTGTGTGTGTGACTGTCTGCCTGTGTGTGTGTGTCTGTGTGTATGACTGTCTGCCTGTGTGTGTGTGTGTGTGTGTGTATCTGTGTGTATGACTGTCTGCCCAGTTCTATAGTTATTGCAATCAGGACATATATAGCATTTATATCATAAATTAATTCATTTAATCATACAATTTTGTATAGTGACATTAAACGCAGCAGCATGAAGTTAACACGATACATAATATATATTCCTATTAACACAAAATGCATATAGTTACAATTAGTGGTCCATATAGATATATAATCACTTACATTTAACATAAATGCACAATGCATAAAAAGCTGCATTTTTATCACTTTTGTGATATAATCAAGTATCAATCGAACCACAAATGCTCTAGTCCTGGTCCATACTTTTTACTGTTTAAAATACGCTTGGCCCCAAAAAACTCATATACTCCAACATTAATACAAATCATTACATGTACAACGTGAGCAATATATTTTATATGCTATAGAGCCATGTAAGAGTAGAAGTCAAATCCTCAATAATGTCCCACAATACGTAATCCATCACTGTGCATATACAACACCACCAATTCTGACCATCTGTCCAAGCAATTTCCATAGCATCAAGATCTAAAAAAAGAAGAACATATATTAAAATTAAGATAAAGATACAGACCATACGCAGGCAGAGATATCGCCATCACTAAAACTTTACAAATCCTTCTCTTCATTAAGACCTCTAGGATGTAATGTCTGTAATTCAAATATCCAATGTAGTTCCTGTTGCTTTAACAAGGTAATCCTGGAACCTCCCCTCTTAGGGGGTTTGACCACTTGCAAAACCATGTATTGCAATTGGGATATTGCATGCTTCTGTTCCGCAAAATGTCGAGCCACCGGGCATTGCATCTTGTTGGTCCTAATGTTACTTTTATGTTCCCTAATCCTGGTGGTGAAAGCATGTGTGGTCTCACCCACATATGCCAACCCACACGGGCATTTGAGCATATAGACCACAAATTTGGATTGATAATTGCAATATTCACAAATCAAATATTTCTTACCCGTTCTTTGGTGTGTGAATTAATCCCCTGTAATTACTCCATTACAGTTAATGCAATGTCCACAACGATACATACCAGGTATTCTAGTAAGCCAAGGTACCCTTGTGTCAGTCTTTTCTTCTATATCAACATTTGCTCTATCCCTACATTCAATAACCGCTTCAGTCTCATATCCTCTAGAGGAGAATGACTGTACCAATTCCTCTGCTCTTGTGTCATATTTCATCTCGTCAGACACTATCCTACATACCCTGACAAATTGCCCATATGGCAAGTGTCTGATAAAATGTGCAGGATGAAAGGACTCGGCATGCAAACAAGAGGCCCGATCCGTAGGTTTTTGGTACAAATCAAATGATAGATGACCCTCCCTTTCCTGAATGGCAACATCAAGGAAATGTATCTCATGGGGATCAAATTCCAGGGTGAAAGACATGGTATCAAGACGACAGTCGAGTTTCTCTTTGAACAACATCAAATCTCCCACACTCCCTTGTCCAAAAGAAAAAAAAATGTCGTCTATATACCTGAGCCAAAATCTAACATGCTGAAAAAAGCTTGGTCCAGATATATAAATGCCTCTTTAAAAGCTGCCAAAAATAGGTTAGCATACGTGGGCGATACATTTGACCCCATATTTATACATGCAAACACACAAAGTTACATAGTAATCTAGGTTGGAAAAAAAAGAACAAAGTCCATCAAAAACATCTTTGTATGCTATTGAACCACAGACATAGATAAATACACAAACATATTTGCAGGCACACATAGTTATACTGACATATGTACACATACACATGCCCTAGCATATTTAAATAGGAGTAAATGGACATATTTGTCCTGCATTAGGGTGAGTTTTTGCACCTCTGGTGTTACTATTGCAAATGTATCAGGACTATCAGTTAAAGGGATACTATAGTCACCTAAACAACTTTAGATTAATGAAGCAGTTTTAGTGTATAGATCATGCTTCTCAGGATTCACTGCTCAATTCACTGCCATTTAGGAGTTAAATCACGTTGTTTCTGTTTATGCAACCTTATCACACGTCCCTTGACTCTGATTGACACAGCCTGCATGGAAAAAAAACTGGTTTCACTTTCAGTCAGATGTAATTTACCTTAAACAATTGTATCTTTTTCTGTAAATTGAACTTTAATCACATACAGGAGGCTATTGACATAGCAGGGGTAATAAAATCTAAATTAAACAGAACTTGCAATAAAGAAAGGATAAAGTTTAGATGACTCTTTACAGGAAGTTTTTAGGAAGGCTATGCAAGTCACATGCAGGGAGATGTGACTAGGGTTCATAAACAAAGTGATTTAAGTCCTAAATGGCAGAGAATTGAGCAGTGAGACTGTAAGGACATGATCAATACACCAAAACTGCTTAATTAAACTAAAGTTGTTTTGGTGACTATAGTGTCCCTTTAACCACTTAAGGACACATGACATGTGTGACATGTCATGATTCCCCTTTATTCCAGAAGGGGTTCCTTAAGGGGTTAAGTAAGGAGATCCCTAAGTGCAGATAGAGACAGTTAATGATAGAAAATATACCAGACCTTAGAGCAGGGGTTCTCAACGTTAGTCCTCAGGACCCCCTACCAGTCCAGGGTTTAGGGATTACCTGGGTGTGTCTCAGGTGTTTAGAAAAAGAAAAAAAAACACCTTAGAGTCTAAGGTGTTTTTTTCCCTTTTTCTAAACACCTGAGACACACCCAGGTAATCCCCAAATCCTGGACTGGTAGGGGGTCCTGAGGACTGGGTTGAGAACCCCTGCCTTAGAGTGACCTAGCTTAACATCAAAACATGAAACACACCACAAGGTATAATCTAATTAGCAAAACACAAAAATAAGCCAAGGTCAGGATTCCAGAAAACAGGTAAGCCAGACAAGTCAATGTCAGGGCGGGCAGCAATCAAGGATGGTCAAAATATGTCAATAATTTCATACTTATGGCTACAAAATTAATAAGTGAAACTCACCAGTAACCATGTTATGGTTAGAAATACTTAATCATATACATTTTCAAATCCAAATGGAAAAGGGTTTATAGAAAAGCTAATAGCTCTCTACATAAAAAAAATACAATTTAAAATGTGACAAACCTACTTAAAATCACCTATCTTAGCAAACAAATATGGGGACTCAGTCACAACATATGGCCATATTGTATTAATATTCATAGTACCCTGATATCTGTGAGTCCTACACTAATTTTAACATGGGAGGTTCCCATGCTAACTGCAATACTTTTTTCTTAAACTGCTCCCAGATACCCTACTCAATGTATGCTTTCTTGTGGTCACCTCCAAAGGGGGTACTATAAGCATTATGTGCTTATGATGGATACTGTGAACTGATATGTTACTAATTGATTTATGTTATTAATTTCAGGTGCAAATTAATTCCACAAGATTCAATATGGAAACCAGCACCCCGGTGGATGATTACGAATCATATCCAACCGTATATGACATTAATGAAGAAAGCAAACTATGCACAATGGTCGATTTTGGAAACATTAAGAAAAAATTGGTACCAGTGGTATTTTCACTGATATTTGCTTTCGGGCTTTTAGGTAATTTGTTGGTAATTGTGACCTTCAATTACTATAAGAGAGCAAAGTCAATGACAGACGTTTACCTCCTTAATATGGCAATAGCGGATATATTACTTGTTCTCACACTTCCATTCTGGGCTGTATATTACCATGAAGAACATTGGATTTTCAAGGATTTTATGTGTAAATTGGTCAGAGCTATATATGCAATAAACTTTAATTGCAGTATGCTATTACTAGCATGTGTAGGCATTGACCGCTATGTTGCAATTGTGCAGGTCACAAAGTCTTTCAAATTCAGAACTACTGCTATGGCATACAAAAAACTGATCTGCTTATTTGTGTGGGTCATTTCTGCCTGCTTGTCCATCATTACCTATTACTTCAATGAATGTTATAAAATTAATGTTGATCAGTGGGTTTGTGAACAAAATTATCGTAACATCCAAATGCCATTAAACTTGAAGTTCACAGTTATAATTGTCCAGGTAACAATCGGCTTCTTCATTCCTTTTCTTGTTATGCTATTTTGTTACACATTTATTATTAAAACATTGCTTCAAGCACAGAATTCTCAGAGACACAAAGCAATACGAGTAATTGTTGCTGTAGTGGCTGTATTTCTGATTTGTCAGTCTCCATATAATATGCTTCTTCTGAAGAAAGCCACAAATTTGTTAAATCAAGAAACGGACTGTGATGATCATCGGAAAACAAAATATGGCCTCTTTGTGACAGAGGTACTGGCCTTTTGCCATTGTTGCCTAAATCCAGTTATTTATGCTTTTGTTGGAGTGAAATTTAGAAATTACTTTGTGAAAATAATGCAAGACCTATGGTGCACTGGCAAACGATATATAATTGGAAATCGTAGTTCAAGAATGTCCTCTGATGCATACACTTCTAGAAGAACAAGTGAAGTATATGCTACTGAGGGTGGTTCATCATTTACCATGTAATTAAAGAAAGTAAAAACACAAGCATCTCTCTAGGACAGTGGTTTCCAACCCAGTCCTTAAGTACCCACCTAACAAGTCGAAAGGAAAAAAGAACACTCTAGACACAACAGGGTAATCCCTAAATCCTGGACTGGTAAGGGGTACTTGTGGACTTGATTGGGAACCCCTGCTCTAGGAAATCAGTTTTGAAAATGAATGGTTATGTGTCAAGATATTCGCATTACGTGTTCCTTGATATAGCAAGTTGGTGAACACATTTTAGATTAGACTTATTTTCTCACATCTAATTTGTGATACGTTCCAGAGTCAATGGTGGACTTGCAGGGGAACTTGACATATTTGCTCCCATCATCATAACTATCAATTCCCTATTTTTTCTCAGTGAAAGAGATATGGACAAGGAGGCACATACAGGTTTTACATTACCACAAATTTAAATGTATTATTCAAACTGTTAATAATTCTCACAGTTTTAGCACTTTTAGGTCAACCTTGTGTAATTTGTGAGGTGCAAACAACAGAATTTAGTCGGAATGATCATTATTTCAACTTCTCACAACTTCAGCTGTAGCATTGTTAGTATATGCTTCCCAAAATATCATATCCCTGCACCAGCAGTATGTAATACAGAAGATACTGGAAGAGGCCAAGTGTGCTAAAATACTAGGGAAAATAATGGCTGCAGTGGGACCAGTAATCCTGGACACACTGACACTTGATAAACGGTTCACAACTGCATCACTTGCAGGCTCTGCAGTAATAATTTTGAGTGTGTTATGTGTTTCCGGCAGCATGTTGTTACATCTCAAAATTTTATAAATATATATATGTTTTGTTTATGTTTAAATGAACGATGTAGGCACTATAACCACGTGAATGGATTATGGTGTCTAGAGTCTGTATGTGCCGAATTCTGTATCATTACCAAGTCGTTTAACTCATCGTTTAGTAGAGATTCCCCAGCAGCCTACAGCACAGCCTTCAGTAACATTATGGTTGGGTCAGAACTATGCTTTCCACGTCATGCCAATCACTACCCACTACTCCAGGCATGGTGTGAAGTGGAGCAAAGCTTGGCCTCTGCCCTTTTATCACTGGAGGTCAGGCTGTAGACTACCTGGGACCACACATCTATATTAAACAGTGAATGAATCATATAGTAGAGATCCAATTTGATAAGTGGTGATGGTGCCTACAGTGTCCCTTTGTCATATATATATATATATATATATATATATATATATATACATACACACACACACACACACTGTGCTTAAATATATAACAACGCATTAAAAATGCTTTTCAGCTCCTGCATGAAAACAGAATAAATATCATTGTATTTCCTTGTTAATCAATTTTAAAATAAATGCAAAATTACTACTTTCATAGTACTAGGGATCTTGAACCATGCCATTGTTTTCCAGTTTAATAGACAGATATGTGTTCTCCTTAACAGTATTAACAGTATTTTATTCAATCCTCCATACTGGAAATGGTTTAATTGTTAACCAGTTTTATGCCTGGAGTGAATAGACTATAACAGTCTGAAGTGTACCTGATGATTGGTTTGTGTTAAAATAGAATGAGAAATACAGACGCTTTATTATTCTCAGATTAGGAAGGAACAGGAATTTACATGTTTGCCCACTAGACATACATAGCATTATAACCACAACAATGGTGCTATAAAAGGGTTAAGTTAAAGATTCCTTAATATTCACACTTAGAATTCCACTATAAGCAGGATACAAAACAATAAATAAATCTTCAAATAGATTTTATTTTACAGTGTAGTGTATGAACCACTGTAATTTAAGGAATTATTTTTCAATATTCATGACAATTTAAGAAAAACAAAGACTGGTCAATGTATTGGAAAGAGTATGCTTTCAGGTTCAATGTATATGGCCAGAAATGGTCCTATGGACCAGCCTCTATTACTGTTCTGTACGGTGATGTTTTAACATCCAAAGGTGAAGCTTTGTCGGAGGGTTAGAGAGAGTTTAGGAATGGGAACATTTGGTTAGGAGTACTTTAGATAAAAGGACCACTATAGTCTCCCAGATCACTTCATTTCAATGAATTGTTCTGAGTGACTTTAGTACCTTCAATGTAAAACATTACCATTCAGAAGAAAGGTCAATGTTTATCTTGAAGGGTTAAACACACCTATTAGTGGCTCTCATACTGAAAGCAGCTAGAGGCACTACTGCTGTAGTGGATTGAATTCAATGCATTACTATGAGAAGCTATGACAAATAGTGTGCAAGGTCCTGAATATAACTAGGGTAAGGGACATTATAGCGACAGGAACACCGGTTTGCTCTATAGCGTTCCTTTTTAAAAAAAGAGGGTGAACGTATGGGTTAAAGAGGAATTTGGGTACTGTAAACTGTAACTTCCATGATTCTCAACTAAAGCCAGAAAAAAAAAAATCTACAATCCGGGACAAACTGTATACATTGGTATATACATATTGTCTCGTTTGGATGTAAACAAATCCCCGCAGCAATGTTCTAGCAGCTAACTTGTTTTTAAAGGAACACTATAGTCACCTAAATTACTTTAGCTAAATAAAGCAGTTTTAGTGTATAGATCATTCCCCTGCAATTTCACTGCTCAATTCACTGTCATTTAGGAGTTAAATCACTTTGTTTCTGTTTATGCAGCCTTAGCCACACCTTCCCTGGCTATGATTGACAGAGCCTGCATGAAAAAAAAACTGGTTTCACTTTCAAACAGATGTAATTTACCTTAAATAATTGTTTCTCAATCTCTACATTGAACTTTAATCACATACAGGAGGCTCTTGCAGGGTCTAGCAAGCTATTAACATAGCAGGGGATAAGAAAATCTTAATTAAACAGAACTTGCAGTAAAGAAAACCTAAATAGGACTCTCTCTTTACAGGAAGTGTTTATGGAAGGCTGTGCAAGTCACATGCAGGTAGGTGTGACAAGGGTTCATAAACAAAGGGATTTAATTCCTAAATGGCAGAGGATTGAGCAGTGAGGCTGCAGGGGCATGTTCTATACACCTGCTTCATTAAGCTAAAGTTGTTTAGGTGACTATAGTGTCCCTTTAAAGCTCTTCTATGCTTTTCAAATAACATTTTCAGTGAACATTTGTCCATATACTTTTGTCCATGTTGTGCAATATAAAATTAGTTCAGCACAGTTCCTTAACAGGAAAATTATTTCTATAATATATGTATCTATTGAGAGTTTATATTTTCTACTACAGAGCTTTGTATCATTTTTAAAAAAAAAAGTATTTGTTAGATCCATATTTTGTATAATGAAAAGTTGTATGTATCGATTTGTTATGACATCTGGATTCTTTTTTTCTTTTTGGATTCCACTTGCTTGAAATAAAAAAAAGAAATTCATCCGTGTCATCAAAATGTCATTTTTTGTTACCATATTTATATTTTCCTGTCTAGAGCTCATATTATTACATGTGATTTATGGTAAAACGGACAAAGTGGTTAATGGTTGAAGGAACATTCCAACAATATTTGCATGTAACGTTTGGAGTGTTCCTTTAACGCTCAGTGCCAGCCACACCTATAATATTAAACATTACTCATATTATCCAGGGGCAGGACCTCTCTTGCTGCTGCTCTGCCCTCCCTGGCAACACTGTCAGTGACAACACATCGTTTTCTCTTCAGGTCTATAGAAAATTGGTGTATGCTCAGTTTGGGCAATCACCCAATAGAATGTTTCTCATAGAGAAGCATTACGCTAATTTTGTTGTTCCAAAATTGTCCCAGTTCATAATTTATTAATTTATTTAATTTGCACTTGGGACAAGGCTAGAAAGCACCTAAGCTTCCTGACTTTATTTAGGGGTTCGGAGTGTACCTTTAATAACTTACTGGAAAAAAAAACAAAGGATAACACCACTACCACTATATAAAGTCACCCTGTTTTAGCCAGTCACAGCCCAGAATGTAAGAGCACAGGGACTTGTTAAATTTGGGTCTTTGTAAAAGGAGTAGCATTACCTCTTCTTATATCTGCCTGGGAATATCACATCAAAATGAAGTACAATAGATATAGAACAACGATGTCTGTAACACAATATAAAAACACTTTATAAAGCACAATTAAGCAAGAGTTTAAACTAGAATGCAGCTGACTGTGATAGCTAGAGCTAGAAAATATGTTATATCTTTATTTAGCCTCCAAGTACCAATGACAGAATGATTCCATTGTGCAGTATTTTACCAGTAGGGTCTGTTTCCCAGCAGGTAACAGCGGAAACACAGGTATAATCAGATACCTGTATCTTCTCTGTCAACTGGGGCCAGAATTAGTGGCATCAAACTGATACATGAGCTGCATGCTGCGCTGAAAGTGAGTCCTGCACTCAGCTCTTTAAATGGGATTTAAATCTCAGATGCTACAACTTGGTGTGAGAAGGGTTAAATTACTTCTCAAACCAGGGAGACCTAGGTATCAATTGATACCTTGATGTCAGGATTACAGTATGATCCAGCACGTAGAATTGTGTAACACAGAGGACTGATAGGTAATGTATACCGGACCTTAGAATGGCCGGACTAACGTACCAAAGAATAGTCAGGAATAGCCGATGTCAAGGGACACAGAAAGAGACACAACGATAAGGAAAATCCAGGTGTCAGGGATGCCAAAAAACACTGAAGTCAAAGTCAATTCCAAAATCAAATAACCAGAAAAAACAGAATCAATAACGCGCTCTCGGACAACCACAAGGGAAACCACGACAGGGCACTGAGCAAGAGGAGAACTGGGCCTAAATACCCTGCCTGTGGATCCGATTGGGTGCTGCTCAGCACAAACTGCCCTGTGGATTGATTGCTGCTCGGCACAACTTTTCCTGTCAGGACAGTAATTTTGCTCGGCACAACTTTTCCTGTCAGAACAGTAAATGCCATTTATCACATTTTTATGTGTGGAATATGTGACATTACCCCCCCCACCTGAAGAACGCCCACCAGGCGGGCAGGACCAGGCTTGAGAGGAAACTTGGCATGAAAATAGCGAATTTTGTGGCCAGCATGTATATCAGATGCCGGAACCCAAGAATGATCGGCTGGTCCAAAACCTTTCCAAACCACCAAGTACTGTAAAGTGCCCCGAGAAAACCTGGAATCAATTATGGAGGAGACCACATACTCTTCCTGTCCAGAAACAACTAATGGAGGAGGAGGGACACTTGAGACAGTATATTTATTGCAAACAAGAGGTTTGAGTAAGGACACATGAAAGGTATTAGGAATTTTCAAGGAGGGAGGAAGGGCCAGAGAGTACGCAACAGGATTGAGCCTACGAAGGACACGAAAAGGTCCAATTAACCTAGGAGCAAATTTCATGCTAGGGACTTTGAGCCTGATGTTACATGAAGATAACCAAACCCTCTCACCCACTTGGTAAACATGGTTGGCACCTCGACGTGTATATGCATAATGCTTGAAACGGTCAGCAGCAGTACCCAGAGCAGATTGAACTTTAACCCAGGTATCATGGATAGAAGCCAGGCGGTCATCCAAAGCAGGAATAGCCGTATAAAAAAAAAAAACAGCCGTTAGGACAGTAGGATGCCGGCCATTATTAACAAAAAATGGACTATACCCAGAGGATTCATGGTCAGCATTGTTCCTAGCAAACTGGGCCCATGGTAGTAATTCGGACCAATTGTCTTAAGTGCTATTAACGAAACAACGCAAATATAATTTCCAAGGACTGGTTAGCCCTCTCAGCTGTACCATTGGTCTGAGGGTGGAAAGAGGATGAAAACGACAATTCAATCCCTAATTGCTTATTGAAGGCTCTCCAAAACCAGGACACAAACTGAGAACCTATGTCAGATACTATATTGTGAGGAATGCCATGCAGATGGACAATTTCTCGTATAAAGATTAGTACCAGGTCTTGAGATGGCGGCAATTTCTTGAGAGGACTAAAATGAGCCATTTTAGAAAAACGGTCCACAACCATGATAATAGTGGTATAATCGTTAGAACTAGGAAGTTCAACAATGAAGTCCATGGACAAGTGGGACCATGAGACCTCAGGGATAGGAAGAGGTTGTAACAAGCCACAAGGGAGTTTATGAGGCACTTTGGAAACCAAACAAAAAGAACAAGCCTGCACATACTCCTTAACATCCTTCCTGAGGGAATCCCACCAGAATGACCTCATGATAGCAGAAATGGATTTATTAATACCTGGATGACCCTCAGACACATTGTCATGAAACACCTTCATGATATTAACCCTTTCCCCCAATGGAACGAACAGTTTGTCCTGAGGTTTACCGCAGGGCGCCTGACACTGAGCCTCCATGATGGAGCCAAGCAGTGGAGAGGACAATGAAAGGAAAGTGAACGCAATGATACATTCCGGTGGAATGATATGGGACATTTCTTGCTCTAGTATAGCCTCAGTATCAAACTGCGTGGACAAGGCGTCGGCCTTGACATTTTTAGAACCAGGTCTATAAGTGATAAGAAAATTAAAGCGAGAAAGAAATAGAGACCAGCTAGCTTGTCTAAAAGATAATCGCTTGGCATCTCCTATATAAGCCAGGTTTTTGTGATCAGTAATGATCAAAAGGGGGTCCTTGGAACACTCTAAAAGATACCCCCACTCATTGAGAGCAAGAATAATGGCCAACAATTCTCTATTGCCAATATCGTAATTGCGCTCAGCAGCAGACAACTTTCTAGAAAAGTAACCACAAGGATGTAACTGAGTTTCTTGGCTTTCCCTCTGGGAGAGAACTTCCCCTACCCCGGTCTCTGAAGCATCAACCTCCAGTATAAAAGGCTTACTGGTGTCAGGATGTATCAACATGTCGGCGGAGGCAAACCGCTGTTTGAGATTTTCAAAGGCTTCAATAGCCTCCTTATCGTACTACTAGCCCCCTTGCGTGTCATATTGGTGATGGGGGCTACTACTGAAGAAAATCCCTTTATAAACCTTCTGTAATAATTGGCAAAACCAATGAACCTTTGAATGGCTTTCAACCCAGTGGGTAAAGGCCACTGTAGAACAGCCTCTAGTTTTTTAGGATCCATCTGAAACCCAGAGGCAGAAATATTATATCCTAAAAACTGTACTTCAGGGCACTGAGTCAAAGATACATTTTTCCAATTTACAATAAAGTTTTTTTTTAACAAGGTTTGCAGAACTTTACCAAAATACTCCGTCTGTGAATCTGATTGGTTGTAACCGGCCTTTGACCCCAAAGGCAGTTAACAGGTTCCTATTTGCATGATTGCTGCTCAGCACAAACACTCCTGTGGATTGATTGCTGCTCGGCACAACGTTTCCTATCAGAACAGTAAATGCCATTAATCACATTTTTATGTGCGGAATACGTGACACTTGGGCCATAGTGGCTACAGACTGACAAATGGGCAGCATGCAGCGCTCAAAGTGAGTGCTGTATACAGCTCTGTAAACTGGGACTGTATGCTGGCTTCTCTTTGACATATTTATTGGCCCTAGGGCCAATAAATATGTCAAAGAGAAGCCAGCATACAGTCCCAGTTTACAAATAGGTTCAGACAGGAATTTTATGAATACCAATCAAAGGTTGCCTCTTTTTACAGAGGAGTGTGTATAACAAAAGTTCTCAAAAGAGTCAAAAAGTGATTTACAGGCAGCTCAATACACTAGTGTGGAAATATCCTCTATTCCACTGAATAAATTTAGTAGATATTGGTGCGGTGTAAGTGACAAGGACCTACACCTATAAGTGGAGCGCTCAAACACAGATAAATCTTACTCATTCATAGTCTCATTCAATGGTAAAATATGGGGTACATGTCAAAATAAAATACAGAAAATACAATATAGTGTAGACGGTACTAAAAAATGGCTTCACAGTGATTATAATAATATCGTGTTGAATATTACACTCACATTTCAAGGAGCCTGTATATAGAAAACACTGGCTCCGTATAAAGGCTTGTGTGCTGTTATGGTAGCACCACCCTCCTACTTCGGCTTGATATCTATTCCAGCACATATGTATGTAATATCACCTTTTTAATGTTTAAAAATATATGTACCATCGGCACTGTATGCACCTTTAACAATGTAAATATATTAGTCTATATGCACCACAATTTATATTATATCACTGGGAATTTAATAT